CGATAATAACTTTTTAACAACCATGGAAGTTACTCTCGATTACAAACGGCAAACTTCACTCGGGTCCTCTTGTCACGCTTTTGAATTTGTTTCTCAAATCCGGTTATTTTCGATACTTATATACTATTAATGCATATATATATATATATAAATCTAATATTTGTATGTACAGTCTAAATGGAGATACAATTTATTCGACATTATTAGGTTACTAGAACAATTCGAAAAACCAATGACAATTTAAAGTAGTTAAAGATGCTTTACATGACTATGTTATATGAATTCTTGTCTGCAAGTTATAGACCTAACCAATACTGTTGAATCTGTTTCTCTAAGTAGGATCAATCGTGTTATTTTCAATACTTGTATATATATATATATATAAATCTAATATTTGTATGTACAATCTGGATTTAAATACAATTTATTCAACATTATTAAGTTACTGGAACAACTCGACAAACTAATGACAGCTCGAGCTAAAGGTGCTTTACATGAACTACATTGTGCGAATGGCTGTTACAAGTTGTGGACTTAACCAATGCTTTTGAATTTATTTCTCGAGTAGAACCAATTTTATTATTTTTAATACTTATATACTACTACTACATATATATATATAAATATTTGCATGTACAATCTAAATTTAAGTACAATTTATTCAACATTGTTAAGTTACTTGACACAATTCGACAAACCAATGACAACTCGGTAGCTAAAGCTGCTTTATATGAACCACGTTGTACGAATGCCTGTTTTGCAAGTCGTTAACGTAACTACATATCGTCGTAGTTTAAGAATTTGGAACTATTTTGATCTCTCGAAAAATCTTCTTGTTATAAAAAGGATCCCTTAAAGAAAGAAAATGCAACGTCGTTCAAAAAACAGTCTTCCATGATTTTATCGAAAAATGCATCGTTCAATAATTGATTGTTCAGAAATGATTTCAGAGAAAAATATCATAGAGTTATATGTGTAATACATGCTTTTTTTTTATCAAGGTACTTTAATATGACACACTTTACGAATTTATACATATTCATGTATGTACTTGCAAATGGATGAGAAATTGCTAGTCATTGACGCCTAATGTTCATGTAAATTTTGCATCTGTCTGAAAATAATAGAATAATTTCACGTTCATACATGCAATGAAATTCGGATTAATTTTAGAAATACTCATTTTGATTGATATCAAGGACTGTATGAAAACGTTCAACGGTACAAAATTCCTTTCACGAAAGGGAAAATATGTTTCGGGCCTTGAAGGAACATCCCTTCAAAAATGTACTTCTCACATGCGAATGTGAACTTGACTGTTCAACATTTAAATTTTCGCACGTAAATATTGTTTACTTGTTACAGTACAATGTCCAAAGATAATAAATTTCGTAGATAAGGATAGCTATTAATACGATAACGGAGCATATATCGTAAATGCCACACTTTAATAACATTGATTTGAACAATTTTAAATTCGTCGCATTTATTCATTTATTTAATATTTTATCCTACAATTTGTATAACCTACACGTCAATAAAAAAACTCTGAGGAATATATTTAGATTTAAATAAAAAATATAAACGCGTCCTGATTCCACATCCGATTTTGGAAATCTGAGAAAAATTCATATACATGAGTCGTATATTCGAGCAACAGAAATACAAGAGTGATTAAGATTATTCGGATAAGGCTGCCATGTTTTTGCCCCACCGTTTTGTTAGAGTGAACGTGCAATTCATAAGAAGCGTAGCTTATATCAATTCGACTAGTAACTACGCTGCTTTCACGCGAGTGTTATCACCAAAAATTTCCCATCAGCCGTTCGATAATTCGATACCTCTCTTCGTCAGAACGTTCAGCGTTTCCTCTGCAGCAATGACGAAAATACAGGTAAATGACGAAACTATATTGCTGATTTTATGTCTATGCTCCGCTTTTTTTTTTTTCTTTCTGGAACGCTTACCTCCGCTATATGAATTTTTAATTAGTTCTGATAACATCACTCGAGTCTCAATAATTATCTTGCCTCATCTCGTTCATATCTAAGAGAAAGAAATTTCTTTTTAAACGATAAAGACATATAATAATTTCTTTTTTTTTTACATAATTAATTTCTCGTTATCAGGAGAATTTTACATATAACTTATTCCACATATTTTTAGGCTGGAGCTGTCGTCGATATCTTAGGCGATGAAATGACAAGGGTGATTTGGGAATCTATCAAAGAGAAACTTATTTTACCATATTTAGACATTGAACTTCATACCTATGACTTGGGTATTGAAAATCGGGATGCTACTAATGATAAGGTAACTGTAGAATGCGCAGAGGCTATTAAGAAATACAATGTAGGAATCAAATGTGCCACTATTACTCCAGATGAAAATAGAATGAAAGAATTTAATTTGAAACAAATGTGGAAAAGCCCGAACGGTACTATCAGAAACATCTTGGGTGGTACAGTTTTCCGAGAGCCCATTCTCTGTAAAAACATACCAAGATTAGTGCAAACTTGGACCAAACCAATTATCATTGGCAGACATGCTCACGGAGATCAATACAAAGCTGTAGACTTTGTAGTACCTGGGCCAGGTAAACTGGAAATCACATGGACCGGAGATAATGGAGAGAAAATTCAACACACTGTTCACAGCTTTAAAGGACCTGGAATTGCACAAGCTCAGTACAATACAGATGAAAGTATTTCAGCCTTTGCTCATAGTTCTTTTCAATATGCTCTGTCAAGAGAGTATCCCTTGTATCTTTCCACAAAAAATACTATTCTTAAGCAGTATGACGGTAGATTTAAGAATATTTTCCAAGAAATATATGATAAAGAATACAAAAACAAGTTTGAAGCTAGAAAAATTTGGTATGAACATCGCTTGATAGATGATATGGTAGCATATGCAATGAAGAGTGAAGGTGGCTTTGTATGGGCTTGCAAGAACTATGATGGAGATGTTCAATCAGATTCTGTAGCACAAGGCTATGGATCTCTAGGTCTAATGACTTCAGTTTTAATTTGTCCAGATGGGCGTACCGTAGAAGCAGAGGCTGCTCATGGTACAGTTACAAGACACTATCGTCAGTATCAGCAAGGGAAGGAAACTTCAACTAATCCGATTGCTTCTATATTTGCGTGGACAAGAGGTCTACTTCATCGTGCAAAACTGGATAATAATCAAGATCTCAAAAAGTTCGCAGAAACGTTAGAATCTGTCTGTATTAGTACCATCGAATCAGGCTTTATGACAAAGGATCTAGCAGCTTGCATCAAAGGCCTGAGTAATGTTGTTAGATCTGATTATTTAGAAACATTCGAATTTATGGATAAGTTAGCAAACAATTTGCAGAAGCAATTAAAATGACTATATCATGATTTTTCTAATAAAATGTCGAAGTATTAATTTTAGACAGAAAAAAGGCATTACTATTGGTTATGGGGAAAGAAATTGCATTTACTTACACATGTTATATTGCAAAAATAGAACACAATGAACGAAAATAAGATTAATATATTCTAATAATATTTTATAAAAATACATTCATGATTCTTGATTTGATATCATACATGTATATTTACCTTTACATTTAAATGTTTAAATATTTAAACAACAATTGTAAATGACATAAAAACGTTTATTTTTTTCACCCTTTCTCTCATGACAGGTAACATGATAATCCTGTGTTAAAATATTTAAATCATTGATACTTGAGCTCTTATTTTACAATGCAATTAATAAGTACCGTGTGAATATTTCTAATCATACGGTATTTATTAATTGTATGCATTGTTGTTCGTTATTGAAATAACTAAATTAGTAATAGTAAATAATAAAAACAATAACTTTTTATGATGTCAACTAAGCGATAATATTATACGATGCTAAGCGATGTATTTTTTAATACGCAAAATAAAATTATTGCTTTACATTTTATAATAAAAATATATATATAATTATACATATATTCTTTCGTTGTCCTTATCTCTTTTTTATTGGCGAGTATATATGTATAAAATTATAAAAGAAATGATTATTAATATCTTAATATCTAGTACCAATTTATTATACTTAGTTATTTTATCTTATTCAACAAATATCTTGCAAAACTCATATCTTTTATGAATATAAATGATTGAATTAATTATATGTAATGAACGAAAATTAATAATACGTAAGTATATAAAAGAAAAAAAATTAATTTTACGCTTTTTATGGGTAAAAAAGGTTATGCTTGGTTATAATAATTTCAACATCATTTATTCATTAATTAGTGAACAATTCTTTAAGTTACATAATCAATAAAAAAAGAAAGTAGCAAAAGAGTTTATTTCATTTTTGAGAATTAATTTCTCGATAATACAATTTTTATAATTCTTTTGTACGTTCATTCATAAATTAACAATTAGTGCAATATAGTACCATAAAAAGTATGAAATCAATATATATGTAATTCTGACCTCTATGTATTTACATATTAAAAAAGCAATTAAAAAAAAGAAAGTTGAAAATGATGTCATATAACTGTTGAATTAACATTTAGTATTTTCTTTTATGTTAAATGATAATAACTATCTTTGTTTTATTACAATTATACTATTTTATATATTGTCAAAAAGTATCTTATTAAATCATTTTTCTCATGTTTAAATTGCGAATTTTTATGCATTTACAGAAAATTCTAACATTCTAAAATATTTACGGATATAATATGAAAAAGATAAAATATCTAAAGTGCCGTTCTGTTGAGGTTTTTTTCAATTAAATGCAAATTTGCAAGTCTGTTGATGTGATCATTGTAACATTCAATTTTTTCGATTTAGCATAAGAAGGGGAGAAAGAAATAAAACACTCTGAAAGAAACAAAAATCGAAAGTTTCTATTTAAGTCATGATTCCATAACACAATATATATTATACAACAATAACGTATTCTTTATCGAAAACTTTTTTAACCTTAGAAAGAAAAAGAAAACAAACAGGTTTTTGTTCTAAGAATTCAATAAACTGAACGAAGAGAAAATCTTGAATATCGCGTGTCTTTGTAAAATGAAGCACTGAAAACACTTATTTTATTGTATATTAATTATTAAAAATTAATTTTTCAACGATGTAATTTCGTATTTGTACAGGTAATATTACTTAGTTTTCCGTGGTATCGCGGAGTTCGCTAAACATTGTGACACAAGCTGAGCAAACAGTGCCACGTCGACGAAGCTTAAGGATTATTATTATAGATCGAGCAAAAATTAATAATTTATAACTAGTTTTCATTATTATTCTAATAAGAAACATTCAAGATAGCGGCAGTGATACACAAGCTTAAGTGTTTTATTATTCATCTTACCTCTACGTAACTTCGTTACTGTGTTACTCATTACTCTACTACCCGTATGAAAAATTAACGATCGAAAAAAACAGTTAAGACTGACTGAATCGTCTCGCACGAGGCCGAGTGTCGTAAAGTGGAAGTTCCTCTACAAAATATTGCAGCAAAAAAGTAGTTGCAAAGCTAGTTCGCATGAATTCGCATATACCCGATACGGATGCATTTTTCACCGATGAGATAACTTGTCGCCTCCTTCGTTTAACGAGTTTAACCATCGTCATTCGTACCCGTCGGTCCATTCTCTTCTCCTGCAGTCGTGTTGCGAGGGCTGCAGGAGAAACCAGCCGGAGGAAGTGGGGGCGCGTGAGGAGCGTGTGGATACCAGAATCAGAATTGGAATTGCAGATGGCGCCTGACCTGCGCCACTTCGCCTCGCCATCGTTCTGTCCGAGTTGGTGAAAGAGGAGGGAGGGGCTGGTTTTTTTTTTGCTCGTAGTCTTTCCACGATTCATCCTCCGTTCCGTCGGCCACTGTTAGCGCCGATGACGAGGTATTCGAAGATAAATCGTGAGGTACCGAGAGATAAATCGAAAGCTAACCGTGTCGAGGGAGAGAGAGAGAGAGAGAGAGAGAGAGAGAAAAGAGCAAGAGAAAGAAGGGAGGAAACAAAGGCTTTCTTCAACCAGCACATCCGATTTTTTCGTTTTGTTTTTTCTGTTTTTTCCTTTTTTTTTCTTTCTGAAGCGTTGAACAAATTGTATAAAAAACGATCGTGAATGTTACAATCCGGTGCTCCTCCTGGTTGGCTGCGTAAATCGATTGACGAGTGATCGTGGATTTACTCTGGCATGTCTATTTTCGATGGTCACTCGATGGTCAGAAGATAACCTGCTTCGAGCGAATTAACGAAAAGAGGTTTGTTTTCCTAGTGAAATGAACGGGATCGTGCGTTTGACTTTTTCTTTCTTTTCCTTCGTTCTGCCTCGTTCACGACTTTCACGACTTGCCACGCGTACACGCTTCCAACGGCTTCCACTTGTCAGAATCGTCGTTCGTCTGTAAACCGGAAATTGCCTAGAGAAACGGAAATCGAACGCTCGTGTCGGGAAGCCGATACTCTTTCTCTCACTTACTCGCACATTGTCTCATCTCGCGATATGATATTCTTTTATCGCCCGTTGAGATTGCAAGGATAACAGATACGCTCCGCGTGTTGAGAAAGAGAGAAAAAAAAAAAATTACGGAGAAGACACTCTCGCGTTGATTACGACGGAAAGAGGAGACTGCACGCGTGAAAATATGTTACGTTCGATGTACTCTGTACATTGACTCGTTGCGCGATTCACCATTGTATCACGTAAACCGGATGTCGGGAGTAGGAAATATGAGTTATTGGAAATAATTGCACACAAGACGAGTGGTTGTTGCAAATAATCGAAAAAAAAAAGAAAGAAAGTCTCAATTCACTTTTGCTTAATATCACGTTTTTAAACATCTTATAGTCACGATGTAAAGAATTTCGTAATTTCGTAAGTATACCGGTGTATACTGTTTTTTTTTTTTTTTTTTTTCTTTCCTTCTTTTTATAGAGGAAAATCCATAGGATCTAGTATTGTAGCGTGTATAGTATTTGATAGTCGGTGAGCTGATTGTCTTTTGGAGAAGCCTAAAGCATTCGCGAATTAGCGAAAGGTAATACGTGTAAAATCACGATTTAATCACGATGTTTTCACATCGGCCATTGACAAGGTTACGAGATTCTACTATCCCATTGATTCCGTAAAATTTCCATCGAGTCGTATCGTCTTATATTCGGAATTTAATTCGGCGGGTAATGCCCGGAAAAGCGGACGTTTCTTCGTGGGAACGTTCGAACGCGTTCTTCGTCAGCAGTTTCATTAGGAAAGAAAAAATGGCGGCCGTGGCTTCGTAGATCGCGCGACCACCGAGTAATGCCGTGCTCGCACTTCCGTAATGTGCACCAGCGCGCTATTCCCTGCTGAAATCTCGTAGACAGACCGTCAAGACCTCGTGGTTTCTTCTTATTGACAGGAATTATGCTCGAGACGAGAATCGCTCGCCCGACTCTGTAATTTGCAGTCGTGAGAAAACGAAATCGCTTTCGAAAGAGAGAAAAGAGGAAAAGAGATCGTTCGTAAGAGAAGTACACACGCGACGATAAAGTAAAGTGGCTTGACGTTGATGTCATCGGGAGGAAGACGACGACTGCATAGGTCGGCAAGAAGAAGAAGAAGAAGAAGAAGAAGAAGAAGAAGAAGAAGAAGAAGTGAATGTTGTACCGTTTTTTTCTCTTTTCTTTTCTTTTTTCGCCCGGATCTACGACTTTAAAGGATCACATATGAATAAAAGGGTGTCTCGATGCGCGATAGGGAGACGACAGGGCGGACGTGGGACAGAGTAAATTTTGTCCAAGATGTCAGGAAGGCTGCCACGGCTGCGTGCACTTCGTCCACGACCCCAGCAGTTCAAAACTGAGCCGCATAAGGAAGGTAACCTTAAAGAGAACCGTCAGGAGGTCGTGATGAGAGAGCACGAGTTGCACAGCGACACCGAGGACATGTCGTACAGTGTCAGAGACGAAGGTCTGGTGAAGAATAATCTGAAGCACGAGCACGAGGAACTCGATTTGGCCTCCTCGTCGAATTACGAGTGCAAGATGTGCAAACCCCCGAAGCCTTTGCCGAGCGTGAAGGCGTATCTCGATCATCTGAAGAAAGAGCACAAACAGAAGGTATATTATTTTCAACTGAATTACAATAATTACTAAAATCATGCTATAGTTTTATCATATATTATACTTTTCAATAAAAATTTTATTGAAATAAAATTTTATAGATCTATCAAATAAAAATTGAAATATGTAATATGTATATAATGAAATATATATATATATATACACACATACACATACATAGTATATTAATAATGTAATGTTAATAATAATTGAAAATTAGATAAGGTTCTTTTTTATATACTTCAAAATAATATTTTTATATTTAAGATATACTTACACATGCAATAAGATCTTTTTTATATTTTAAAATATAACATGTTTATGTATTTAAGGTACAATATGATGTGCAATAACTTTCAGGGAAAATTCACACGAAACATTGGAAACCGATGTTCCATGTGCTCATATGTTGCATTGAACTCGAGGGATCTTGAAACTCATCAAAGAGTACATCATCTAAAGAGGAGGTTTTTCAGGTGTGCTAAGTGTTCATATGTAACTCATGTACGTGCTCGTTATACAAAGCATGTGAAGTATCACTCTATGCCAATGATCAAGTGCGATGCCTGTGATTTTCGTACACCGTATAAGGTTAGTGAGAGTTTCATTAAATCTAAGAAATTAATGTCCTCTTGTTAGACAAGCTACTAATGGATAATCTTTTTTTTAGTGGAATTTAGATAGGCACACTAGAAATCATGGAGGAGGAGGAGCTTTTCAATGTCGTGCTTGTAACTTTACAGCTGATATTAGACAAAGTTTAACAGTACATGAGACTAATCATCATGAACCTCCTGTGAGTCAGACAAACCGCAAGTCTGCTATACCTTTTGAACGTAAACTAAGAAATAATCCTAAACGTTACAATCAGGTAGTGTAATAATTTGTTTTGTAAATAATAATTGGCAATAAAAGACATATAAAAAGTGAATCAATTTTAGGTGGGTGCAAGTGATTTTCGGGAATCACTACATATACCTGGAAGTACAACAGTTTCACTCAGCTCTGGAGATTCGTTTATTTCTGATCAATCTATGGAAGACAAAAGAAATGCAATAGCCAATGCAGAGTGTATAGCGTTGAAGTGCGAAGAAAAAGGATGCCAGTTCATCACTGCATGGGATTCAGAGATGCAACGACACTTGGCGGAATGTCATGCTCCGATTACATCAAACAAATCCAGAAAACCACTGCCAATGTTAATTCCATTGAGTCCTGCTAAACTGAACTCCGGCGGGCCTTCAGCGACGTTGTTAAAAGTTCCACGTGTTAGAGTAAGACCAGAACTCGCACAAATCGCAAGAGACACTGAACTAGCGAAACTATATGGAAGTAAAGAAGTTAGTTACTTTTCTTTGTGCTTACCTGATTATTAATATTTTTATGATACTTTAACGATTCAATTCACTTGAATCTCTTATGCAGGCCAGCAACTTAAAGAAGGATGCGAATAACGCAGCAGATTTATTTGAAAAAAAAAACGCGTCCTTCTTTGATAAGCTTAAGGAAAAGCTTACAACGACAGCGTCAATTAATAACGGAGTACCGGAGGTAGCTGTAAGTACTACGAACGATTTGAAATGCTGGTGTACTTTTAAAGCTAGTAGCATGGAAGAGCTGGCTTGTCACAAACAAATACACCACACTGCTCTCAGTGTATCTGTGGGCACAACGCGTTGCCCGAAGTGCAGGAGACGTTGCAAAAGTTCGACTGATCTACAAGTGCATATGCAGTGTTATCACTCGACAAGCAACGATACGTCAATACACAATAGCTTAGAAAAATTATCAAATTGTTCAGAACTCCGTGTGACCTCGTATCGCGGTGAATATGCATTCCCAGAGCAAACGGATTGGGACGTTAATCTCAGCGGACAGAATTCTTCTGGATCATCGGTATGGTGTTTCATATTGAAATAATAATATTTACTTAACGCGTGCACATGAACAATATGGACATATGCACATGAATGAACGAATAATAATAATAACAATTATAACAATAACAGCTACAATAATCGTAAAAAAAATTGCAATACGAGAGTCAACAGATCTGACTATTTTTTTTCTTCTTTTTAATTTACGTTTTGAAGTACGTTGATTGCAAGCACTCCGTACGACCATTAGAACAATGTATTTAAAGTTAGCTTGAAAACCATCTCTCGAAGTATGCAACACTGTTACAAGCTACTATATATATCGATGAAAATGTTCTCTCTTTTTTTTTTTCTTTCTTTTACTATTTATATACTGTAAATTTTTTTATTATTAAGAATGTGCTTTAAATGTTACTTATGGCAGCCGAGATCATAGACAGTTGTGTTAATATGTGTTGACACTTAATTTTGATAAAGGTAGTCAAATCTTTTGTCAGGTTGAAGGTTCCTCGACGCATCCAAGTGGCCGACGGGTATTCAAATGCCCGCATTGTCCATTTTGGGCATCCACCGCAAGTCGTTTTCATGTTCATATAGTCGGTCATTTAAATCGGAAGCCATTCGAGTGTTCTCTATGCGCGTATCGCTCTAACTGGCGGTGGGACATCACAAAACATATTAAACTTAAAGCAGCTAAAGATCCAGTTCATATGACTGCCAGGGTACTTATGACGGATGAAACAGGTCGACGGAATTATTCCAAATATAACAAATATCTTTCACAGGTGAAAGCACAAATTTCACTTATATTTAAACAATTCTTTTATTAGTGAAGAGAAGAGGTGCTTGTCGATTTTCATAGGCGCACTGATTTTTTTTACGGTTTCTCTCGACATCACTCTGTGGTTAATTTCGTCGTCCAGGACAAGCACGTGTGATGATCCTTGAAAAATAATTAGAGACAGTTGAATTGTTATGTATAATTTTGAAAAGAGCCCAAGAACGTAACGAGATACTCAAAGTGTATATTTGCTGTAATCAAAAGCGCTTGGACACTTGATTGGTGCTATGATGTTAATCTGATTGAAACTATAAGCATATTCTTAGTAATCAAAACCAACATGATTATACAACATTGAAAATGTTCCATACCTCTGAAAAAAAGAAAATTTTTTTTTTCATTTTCATGGAACTTTATACTTTTTTTTTTACTGATACGAAAGAAATTTTCAGTGTGCCGAATAGTTATTTTTCTGCTGAGTAATAAGTTGTTTTTCGTCATGCAGCAGTGTATCGCTTATGTGTAGCAAGCAGTGTTCTATTACATATAAATTTCTCGCCTCTTTTCTAGGTTGAGCAACAGTCGTGGGACGATCAAAACATAGAGGAACACAGTGTCGAAGAGATGAATTGCGATGAGCCGCCAACCAAATTATTGATAATGAGTAGCAACGAATGTCTACAGACGTCAGACCTCTCGTCATCTCCCATTTCCATTGTGTCGCCGAACGAAGGAAACCATAATTTTAACACCATTAATATAGGATTGAAACCGCCACCGCTTCTTAAAGCTGTTGCGAGAAATCGAGGTCAATCTTTACTTAAAAACAATTTAATTTCCCCTCACGCTCAGTTAAGTGGATCGTCGACAGCCACGATTATGGAGGAAAACAAACGCACAATGTGGAAATGCAAACGTTGTAACTTTCGACATTCCAATAGAGAGATCGTCTCCATGCATGTTAAATCTCACAGTGAGCCGACTGTCCAACGTCACGGAGAAGACAAAGTACTTTTCTTCCAGTTCTTTTGTTCCTTTAATTTACTGTGTTATCAGACATAGTTATAATTTACATTTGTTTACAGAGTGCATTTAGTTGTGGAGACTGTCCATTTTCTGCATCTGATGCAGCAACGTTGTCGATGCACAGAGTTCATCATCGCCCAAACTTGGAGGCTATCTTTAAATGTTATTTGTGCCCGTACTATGTCAGCACAAAAGCGTATGTATTCGTAACATTGTGACACCACCATCATCTTTATTACAGACCTGGGTGTTTTGAATAATTTTCAAATAACATTATTTTTAATATACTTTTTGAAGTATTTGATATAAAAATTAAATTAATTTATTTTCAATTAAATGATTTCTTTGTTATTTCATAAAATGAATTATTTACTATTTGCTAGGATCTTTACTTGTTATTTGATTTTGAGAGAAATAATTAATTTCTCAAGGTATAACGTACAATGTTTGTATTTACTATTTCTTATTCTGCAACTGTGGCATATAATTATTATGCTTATCTACAAATACAAGTTGAAATGGATATCGCTCGATTTTTTGCTGACGAGTAGAAGAAATTTAGATATGCTCCACGATCATATATCAATAAAACAAGCATTCGTGATATGATACTTCCCTCCCATCTTCATCATCACCAGAGAGACTGTTCTCAATTGCAACTTTAACAGATATCCCCAAATCTTGTTCATTAACAGATCAAATGTTTGAACTAGTCCTATTAAAAGCTAAGACAAATTTCTGCCGTGATAATATATACACTGAATAAATTATATATTTGATTTTCATTGATTTTTTTTTTCATCTAAATATTTTAATTTCATTGATATTTACTTTGAATATCATTTTAAAAACAAATCTTCAATTATCAAATAAATTTTATTATTTTCTCAAATAACAAATTCTTCAATTTATTATTTTCTCAATTATTTGCATAGTTTCAAATTCCTTTAATTGACCAAATGAGCTATATGTAACCCATACTATTAATTGAAATCTATTATTTGCCAAATACTAAAAGAACATTATTTCAAAAATTTATTTACAAATTATTCGAAGTAAATTTCGCCCAGATTTGCTTTATTTAATTTTCTTAAAAAATATTTACATACGTTATTCCCTCAGAGAACTTTTGGATCACGTCAGACTTCACGGAGAGGAACTCGCCGTTGTGCACCAACAGGCTATAGACTATAGTCTCTCTGGCAACTCTAAAACACATCGAGTTTTAAGCACCGAGAACAGTAAATTAACATTAGCATTAATATAATTATAGGGTGTCCTATTTTGATCTATAAATGCAATTATTTCCGAAATTCGTCATTTGTAAAAATCAAGTTCATTTTTTTCTGTTCGAGGGGCCAGTAATTTGGTACACTTGATTTGTCTCTAGATAGAGGCGTGTAGGAGATATGAAGATCATTGCTATTTTTTCAAGTATAATTATGTAATTTTTTTCTTACGTCTGATCACTTTCTGTAAAGAAAATATTAACCTGTGTATATCGAAAAGCTGTTAGTTTAGGAAATACTTTAATTTTATAAAATTTACCATATGAGAAGCGAGAAAGCATAAGAGCAGTGTTTTTCTGTATTTATACTGTTCTTGTCTTTTATGCGTAGATTTCCTCCTAAACTAAACTTTAGATAGATAGATTAATACCTTTTTTGTAGAGAATGACCTGCTAAATTATACTTGAAAAAATACTAGTTACCTTCACTAATATTCTCCTACACGCTTGTCTATGGAAAGAGAAATTATTGCCTTTTCAAAATAGAAAAGAATGTATTTGGCACATTTTTCAGGGCATTGATTGCATTTATAGATTAAAAAGGGACAGCCTGAAATATAAATTGATATTAGGATTCTTATTCCGACTGAAACATCACCTGCTTTCAGGTACCAATCGCTCTAAGCAAGAGAAGTCTGTGGAGCAAGTGATCCACATAACGACGCAAAGCAACGTGACTTGTTTCAGCAACGTTTCAAAGAATTCCGGAGCACCACCGCCACCGCCATTGCTACTCGATACGCGTGCACTGCCCGAAGCTCCATTAGTATGGGTGTCCCGACCAGACGGTATCCTCGCGAAGATGTTGAAATGTCGCCACTGCCCGTTCGTGTCGTCACGACGGGCGGAAGTTCGCGATCATGAAACGATGCACCTCGATTCGCCCAGCAACGGCCCTGTGATCGCTTGTACAGACTGCAGTTTCACTTGCACGCGGCGAGAGGTCATGGTTGCCCACACGGACATGCATTCCGGGTCTCTGGGCACGATTCACTGTCTGGTGGACGACTCGAGGCCAGACTCGCAGCAACTGAGCGACTTGACTGCGCTTCTCGGCTTCTCTCATTCGCCGGTGTTAGGCTCGGAGCCTGACTTACGAGACTTAAGACTTGTGTACTGCTGCAGCAAATGTCCAGCGCGGTTCCTCTGCGAGAAGGAGCTGAGAATACATTTAAGATACCACTCTACGGAGTTAGCTTACTCTTGCCAATGGTGTTCATATACCGCTCGGCAGCCAGCTCATCTTCTAGCTCACCAGAAAGCCCATTCCACGGAGTATCAGGAGCGCACGAAATATTTATTGTCCCTGTACGGCCAGTCACAGCGTTATCCACCGCCGACGACGGCCTGCGTCGAGTCGAACAATCAAGACTCGAGTAATTCGACGCCTGCTGTCGCGTGGATCGTAGTCGAGGTCACTGAAAGCTCCAGCAGCGGTTTCAACAGCAACGCGAGCAACGCGAGTGGCCAACGAACCGGGAACCAGGTGTTCACCTGTGCCAAATGCCCGGCTCGTTACTTCAAGTTGGACGCACTGGAATATCACATGACCCTGCACGGGTCGAACAACAGGTTCAAATGCACCGAGTGCGACTACTCGTCGAAAACGGCCCAGAATTTGGTGAAGCATCAGGTGGTTCATCGACGTCAGAACGAGGCGAGCGACTTGATCTCGAATCTGTCGCCTCCTCCTGACCCGCAGTTCGGACTGTTCATGCGTGGCAACCCGAACTTCGTGTACCCTGGCTATCTGAGGAACGGCCGATTGAAGGAGAAACGGTACAAATGCCACAAGTGTCCCTCCGCCTTCGAGAAGCGAGAACAGTACCGAGTTCACCTGACTCTGCACGGCGCCAAGCAGAGATACCGCTGCGACACGTGCGACTACTCGGTCAAGTATTACGCCAATTACATACAACACCTGAAGAAACATCAGGCGAACGCGGAGGCGCAAGCCTCGCGCAGACAGTTCGAGGACGATACGATCACCATCGACAGCGACAATGTATCCGACAATGTATCCGGTGCTAATTCACGTCCCGGCAAGACGTTGAAATCGCCCAACAACTCCACCTCAATCCTCTCCCCGAATGGCGCGTCCGTGTTGAATCTAGGCGGTGCTCAAGCCTCGAATCAAGACAAGCAGTCGCTCATGCTGCTGCAGAAGAAGGGGATACTTTTGTCCTCGAACGACGAGGTGGAGACGCTGCACTGTCAGAGCTGCCCGTTCTCTACGTGCGACAAAGACGCGATGGACGCCCACAAGCGTCGACACGGCATCGAGAGGATGACACCGTCGTGTCCCCACTGCGACTACATACCGCGAAAGGACGAGAACGTCGGCGAGCACATTAGGTTACATTTCACCAGGCTTTACAAGCCGGAGTCCTATCTCATTATAGAGTTGTTAACGCTGACAATGAGGAAAGTCACCTCGAACGGCAAGGAGGAGAAGCAAAAGGCTGCCGAGTTACTTTTCAAGGAGTACGCCGATGGGAGATTCTTCCCCTTCACCGATATCAATTCATTCGGTGGTTCCTCCGCCGTCAGCAGTTACAAGGAGAAGGTCATCGTGGACCCGAACACGGGCGAGACGAAGCACTTAGCTATTTAGAGAACGTTAAAGACCGTAACGTGTACTATACACTTCTTTGTACATATATAACAAACGTATGATGCATCTTCGGTGTTTATTCGTTGGCACAGCGAACCATGAAGAAGTAATAATAATGGAGAAAGATCGCTACGTTCGAGACGGGGTTAGATCATAGAAATCTGCATGAAGGAACGAGCATAGGTTTGGCTTGTAGTCGTCACTACGTGTGTGTAGGAAGAAATTCTTGAAAAAAAAAAAAGAAAAAAAAATTACTTATAATTGCTACTCGTAATCGGTATAAACGAACGCGAACGTGATTATGTCGGCAACTATAGGAGACGGCGATTTTTTTCAGCGTTACGCGTAACGATAGATAGGAAACAATAACTTTGTTCATTGAATTAAACATTTCTTCATTCACTCGCCTATAACTTAATATTATTGTATATAACAGCGGAATTATCTTGTACAAAACGAATAATAAACGAATGCAACATACATGTATATATATATATATATACACACACACACACACA